AATTAAAATTGCTTGAACAACATAGTTTTCCATCCATTTTCCTTAAGGATCTGTGAATGATGTAAACTAACTGTAGCGTATCAGGTTTGTTCTCACCATAGGTCCAGAGACTCTTTTTATCAGTCTTTCTCAACATATCCTGTGCAACCTCTTCCTTTTCCTTCACCAACTGTGTCTCTTCTTCATGACTTCCAGCCTCTAGAGTGAGAAGGAACATCGTAGACAATGTAAGAGTGGGCAGTATCTTTTATCTCTTACCTGGTTACAGGACAGACAGGATGCCTATACTTTTGCAAATTTTCCCTTTATGCAAACCAAAATCATTGATTAGCTCATTTCTCCATATTAGGTTCTTTTCCACACAAACACTCCATTTGAAACACGGTTTTATTTTTTACTCATGATGAACCTCTACAATGGTGGAATTGTAATAGTAGACAACGGTCCATCCCATCCCATTCGTCATCCATCCATCCATCTATCCATCCATCCACCCATCCATGCATCCATGCATCCATCCATCCACCCACCCATCCATCCATCCATCCATCCACCCATCCACCCATCCACCCATCCATCCATCCATCCACCCATCCATCCATCCATCCATCCATCCATCCATCCATCCATCCATCCATCCACCCATCCATCCATCCATCCATTTTCTCATTCAAAAACTATTCATCAAGTTGTTGCTACGGGTAGGATGCCAGAGAAATAACACTGAGAGAAGTGAGCTAGTGCTTCCTGAGCAGACTATTATGATGGAAAATGCATGGGACATATTAGGTATCAGGGAGTAGCAGTGGGATGTAAATTATCAGCTCAGTCAATGCTTGAATACTATGTCTTGGCACTAGAAGACAGGCATTTCAGACAGAGCCCCTTAGAGTACTGAAAGTACTGGGCATGACAGCCCATGCCTGAACTCTTGGATCTCAGGGAGGAAGACCACTGTGAGTTTGAGGCTAGCTTGGGCTACAGAGTGAGATATTATCTCAAAATAAGAGCAACAACAAAAACTAACCAAGCATCTACCTGTGTGTATGTGCTCTCACTGATTTATACACATTCACCTGCTGATTTACATATTTTGTTTTCCAAAAGACAAAATAATTGAAAGTTTGAAGTCATAATTCATAAGAAACAAGAATATGACTTTTTCATCAGTTATGTTCCTTTTTTGTCATATTGCATGAATATAAACAGTAAATAAAAACAATACTTAAAAACGTCATTTGTGAGGCTGGAGCAATGGCTTAGTGGTTAAGAGTACTTGTTGCTCTTCCAGAGGTCCAAGGTTCAATCCCCAGCAACCACATGATGGTTTACAACCATTTGTAATTCAGTTTGAGGTGATCTGACATCCTCTTCTGACTGTCTTGAGGACAGGCATGCACATAGTACACAGACATACCTGAAGAGAAAACATCTAAAAACACAAAATACATTTCTTTAAAAATGTAATTTGAGGGCCATGATGACAGCTAGGTGGGTAATGGTGACTGAGTTCAGCTCCCAGGAGCCACATGTTAGCAGAGCTGAAATGATTTGTGAGAGTTGTCCTTTGACCTCCATAAGTACATTGTGGCAACACACACACACACACACACACACACACACACACACACACACACACACCAAAAGAACATTTAAATGTGTAGGGAGCCAGTTAATACAGTGACTGAGCTAATCTAGGGACTGGAAACCTGTCCAGCATCCAATTGCTGTGAATGACTTCCACCACATTCTCAGGGCAACACAAGCAGGTTAATAGCAGTCCAGAGAGTTCTCTCACCTGCTGCAGGCAGTCGCCTCCTCAGAAAATCCTGGCTTCCTGGGCCTGTACTGGAATGACTGGGACTCTGGGCATCGGTAGAGTCTTCAGTAAGCAGCTCCTGAGCAGCTTCACCTCTGCCCCCTGCCCCCTCTGGGGGGGCTGCAGAGCTGCTCTCCAGGTGTGCACCTGCTTCACCTCTGCCACCTGCCCCCTCTGGGGGGGCTGCAGAGCTGCTCTCCAGGTGTGCACCTGCTTCACCTCTGCCACCTGCCCCCTCTGGGGGGACTTCAGAGCTGCTCTCCAGGTGTGCACCTGCTCTTCCTCCCAAGTCGCTTTGAGAGCAGTTAGGATCCGGATCCAGGGTGTCTTTGCCCACATGTTCCAAGTGGGGGTGATGCCCTTGCTCTGTGTCTTGAGAACTCGGGCTGCTCTCAAGCTCCGCTTTACCCAGTGGAGGTTTCTCTAAAGCTGGTTCCACTGAGCTTTCTGACCTGTTACCAGTGTTGGCATGCTCTTGACCTTTGCCCCCTATTTCATGATGGTCTTCCTGAAGATCAGATGTGGGATGTATGGTCTGGGCTTCTGCACTGTTACTCGGTGTGACTGTGGTGTCCTGTGCTTGAGAGTTTACTGATGGATCATTTTCCAAAACGTTTTGAGAATCTAGTAAGATAAAAATGTTTTATTTTAAACATTTCTCCCATAGCAAACAAGGTCTGCAATTATATACATACATACATACAAACACACACACACACTTTTCCTTTTCATGATTTACAATGCACTTTTCCTAAACCTTACTTCTCTGGCCTCCTACCAAGGGTAAAACAATTTGTCCATGCTAATAGCTAATACTAATATAATGAAATTGCTAAAGTAATACTTAATAGTTATAAATTAATTGTAAATCCTATAAAGTAATAAATATATCCTCTTAATCAGGGTGGTGGCACATACTTACTGCAATTCAAGCACTTGGAAGGCTGATACAGGAGGATGGTGGGTTCAAGGCTAGCTTGTGTTACACAGAGACAGACCATGTCTCAACAACAACAGAAATACACGCTTTTTTCATCTGTACACCTCCCTCCCCTTTCCCTTCCCTTCCATCATCTTAACAAACCGAGTTCTAGACATCTCATGTTTGTAGCTAAAACACCAGGGTATACATCTCTAAAAGGCTGAGGATTCTTTAGAAAAAATAACACTTTTACCATATTTGAAAGTGAGTAATTTTTTTTTTTTTTTTTTTTTGGTTCCAAAAAGGTTTATTGTCATGGCAGATAATAGATGGATCTAGGCGTACCCCCCCGTGAGTAATTTCTTAACATCACCAAATATTTGTCATTTGTATTCTCCTAGCTGTCTCATGAACTTTATTTGTTTCCTCTGTAGAGGTAGGATGGACTGCAGGGCCTTCTGCATGCTAGACAAATATTTACCAGTTAGCTACAGCCCTGCCAAGACAGGCAAGACCAATGAAGTCGGATGTTAAGTCCATGGGGGCTCATTATATTGTTCTACTTTTATACATTTAAAAACTTCCTTAGTGAAAAATTTAAAGTAGGTCTAACAAGAGGGCTCAGCAGATAAAGGCACTTCCTGTCAGGCTGACACCTCATTTGATCCATGAGACCTGCATGGTGGGAGGAGGGAACCAGCTCCTATAGGCTGTCTTCTGATCTTCACATGCACTCACATACACACAGAGAAATAAACACAATGTGAAAAAAACAACTGGGGTCCTCTTTCTCTTCTGAAAAAACTATCTCGTATTTGTCTATTCTATACCACACTACCACTCAGAGACACAGACACATAGACACACATACTCATACAGAGACTCAGAGACTCACATAGACACACACACAGATTCTTATACACACATACACAGATTCACATACACACACACACACAAACATACATGCAGAGACTCACACATACTCACACTCACTCTCAGATAGACAGACAAGACACACACACGCACACGCACACGCACACACACACACCCCTGAAAGCAGGATGAAGACTTTCCATTTATGAAAGGTCCCCTCTCTCCCATGCTCATGGATTGGCAGAATTAATATAATAAAAATGGCCATCTTGCCAAAAGCAATCTACAGATTCAATGCAATCCCCATTAAAATCCCAACTCAATTCTTCACAGAGTTAGAAAAGGAAATTCTCAAATTCATATGGAATAACAAAAAAACCAGGATAGCGAAAACTATTCTCAACAATAAAAGAACTTCTGGAGGAATCACCATCCCTGACCTCGAGCTGTACTACAGAGCAATAGTGATAAAAACTACATGGTATTGGTACAGAGACAGGCAAGAAGATCAATGGAATAGAACTGAAGACCCAGAAATGAACCCACACTCCTATGGTCACTTGATCTTTGACAAAGGAGCTAAAACTGTCCAGTGGAAAAAGGACAGCATTTTCAACAAATGGTGCTGGTTCAACTGGAGGACAACATGTAGAAGAATGAAAATTGATCCATTCTTATCCCCTTGTACAAAGCTCAAGTCTAAGTGGATAAAGGACCTCCACATAAAACCAGATACACTGAAACTAATAGAAGAGAAGGTGGGAAAGAGCCTCGAATACTTGGGCACAGGGGAAAAGTTCCTGAACAGAACTCCAATGGCATATGCTCTAAGATCAAGAATTGACAAATGGGACTTCATAAAATTGCAAAGTTTCTGTAAGGCAAAGGACACTGTCAATAGGACAAAATGACAACCAACAAATTGGGAAAAGATCTTTACCAATCCTTCAGCTGATAGAGGGCTAATATCCAATACATACAAAGAACTCAAGAAATTAGACTCCAGACAACCAAATTACCCTATTAAAAAATGGGGTATAGAGCTTAACAAAGAATTTTCAACAGAAGAAACTCGAATGGCCGAGAAGCACCTAAAGAAATGTTCAGCATCCTTAGTCGTCAGGGAAATGCAAATCAAAACAACCCTGAGATTCCATCTCACACCAGTCAGAATGGCTAAGATTAAAAACTCAGGTGATAGTAGATGCTGGCGAGGGTGTGGAGAAAGAGGAACACTCCTCCATTGTTGGTGGGACTGCAAGATGGTGCAACCACTTTGGAAATCAGTGTGGCGGTTCCTCAGAAAATTGGACATAGTATTACCTGAGGATCCAGCTATACCACTCCTAGGCATATACCCAGAAGATGCTCGAACATATAACAAGGACATATGCTCAACTATCTTCATAGCAGCCTTGTTTATAATAGCCAGGAGCTGGAAAGAACCCAGATGTCCTTCAACTGAGGAAAGGATTCAAAAAATGTGGTATATTTATACAATGGAGTATTACTCAGCTATTAAAAACAATGAATTCGAGAGGTTCCTAGGTAAATGGATGGAACTAGAAATTATCATCCTGAGTGAGGTAAGCCAATCACAAAAGAACACACATGGTATTCACTCACTGATTATTGGATATTAGCCCAGAATCTTGAAATGCCCAAGATGCAACTCACAGGCCACATGAAGCCCATAAAGATGGAAGACCAAGTGGGGGTGATTCGGTCCTTCTTAGAAGGAGCAACAAAATACTCAAGGGAGCAAATATGGAGACAAACTGAGGGACAGAAACTGAAGGAGGGGCTGTTTCAAGACCACTCCACCTGAGTATCTATCCCATGTGCAATCACCAAAGGTAGATGCTGATGTGGAAGTCAGGAAGTGCATGCTGATAAGAGCCTGATATGGATATCTCCTCAGAGGTCTTCAAGAGTCTGACATACTCAGAGGCAGATGCTCACAACTAGCCACTGAACTAACTGATCATGGAGTTCTCAATAGAGGAGTTAGAGTGAAGACTGAAGGAGAGCTGAAAGTATTTGCGGCACCATGAGGAGAGCAACAATACCAACCAACCACAGCTCCCAGGGTCTAAACCACCAGCCTGGGAGCACTTAGGGAGGGATCCAGCGCTTCAGTTGAATATGTAAGAGTGGAGGGCCCTGCTGGGCATAGGTGGAAGAAGAGAACCTTGACCTCATGAAGGCTGGATGCCCCAGGGGGTGGGAATTTTGAGGGTGGGGAGGTGGGAGTGGGGGGGGGGGTAGATAGAGGTTACATCCACAGAGAAGAAGGAGGAGGGGTGAGGGGATTGGGGGTTCCTGGGTGGGTGGGGGATGGGGTAAGGGGACAACATAGGAAATGTAAATAAAACATCCAATAAAAAAAAAAAAAAGAAAGGTCCCCTCTAAATCACAGGCTTTCTTTATTTAATAAACAGAACTCTAAAGAAGAGCCCACCGTCTTTTTCTAAGATGCACAGCGTTTTGCTAAGATGACCATTGATAATTACTGGCATCTAAAACAGTTATATTTCTAATATTATAATTATTTGATATTATGTAAAACTCAGTAAATGTAAAAAAGGCAGTAATATTAACAAACTAACCCACTTAAGGTTCTGGTCCTTGGAGACACTCTTCCTTAACACAGCCCCCATTTTCTACAGCAGAGGCTTCGGTGCTGTGAGGCCAGTTCTTACCTCCCACAGGATCCCTGTAGCCACCATCGCTCATGTTTGTGTCCTGGCTTTTCAAAGTTTGGGACATCTTTTTAGTGTCTGGGTTTTGTAGTGGAGATACCTTGTTTTCTTCTTGTCCCAAGTTCCAAAAGACTCATGCTTCCCTTGGAAGCAAGAAGCAAGGAATGTAGACAGTAACTAAAATAAAATAAAAACAAACATTTAAATGACTTTTTATCCATTCAAAGGTAAAACACCGATTTCAGCCCTGAATAAAATCTCTGTTGTCTTGTGTTATTTTGCTTTCTGGCTCTCAGGAACATCATATCCCAACCCCAGACAATGGAAAGAAAAACTCCCAGGACTGATTCTCGTACAGATGCCACCACCTCCTAAAACACCCTAGTAGACTTACAAGAGTATAAACAGTAAGACCAAGAGAGCAGGATCCTACAAGACTTTGAATTAAGACATGAAACCCTCTTGAAAGCAGACATGGAGGCAGTCACTGTGAATGTCCTGAGCTGCCCGTTTCCGGCCGTGTCATCCCCTTAGGTCACTCAGATCAGAGGTGCTTGATCACTTATGAAGGAGTAACTGCTCAAGTGCTGCCGGAAGATGCAGCAAGCACACATTTGGAATATTACGGAGACACAGAACCATTCATGCCGTGTCTTTGTGATGTTCAGGAGAAGAAAAATAAGTACAAGATTTCCTCAAAAGGAGCAAAGTCAGGAGCCATTTTTAGGCCATTAAAAATCAAGTCACTGTACGGTCTTAACTGTTGAACACAATTTTTTCAGTAAGCTACCTGACCTTCACTAGTTATTAAAGAGGTCAAGGGTTAAACACAATAACACAAGGGACAGAGCTTTGTAAAGTGTTATACTTTTTGAAATCCTACTTGAGAGGCACATAAAGCCAGCTTTCTTTGAATTGTTCTATGGTACTCTCACATATTAAAACTTTTATGCATTTCAACCTCATCTATTTATTATAGTGCCCAGTGTCCAGTAAAACTTTGTATATTGTTTGAAAAGCATATTTAAAAATTATGAGGGGTGAGACAGTTCAGCAGTTAAAAGCATTTGCCCCTAAAACAGATAACCAAGGGCTAGGGGTAGGCTCAGTGGTATGGCTCTGGCCTAGCATGCACAAGACCTGAGGTTCAATCCCCAATACTGCAAAATAAACTACAAAACAAACAACCTAAGATTGAGTGCTAGGACCCACATAGTGGGAAAAACTCCGACTTCCACAGGTTACCCTCCAACCACAGCCTCCACATACACAATCATGTAATGCAAACATACAAATGTTGTTTTTTTAAAAAAAGAAAATGAATGCATGTGGTATATAAACTACAGAGAATGGAGACCTAGAACACACCCTTCTTTCTGTTGATATGGATGTTTACAAGTGTCTCAAACCTAAAGACCATCTTCTCTTTTTCCCTTTTTAAGTTCTTATTTTAACCTCCAGCTTTTGTGCGTGTGCATATGTGTGTGCTAACACAAGGCCTCATCCAGCCTTATCAACTGTTTCTCCCACTGAGCTACACCCCTAGCTCTCAGGATATCTCCTTCCTTTGTTGTTTGAGACATCAACTCAGTACATATTTCTGGGAGGCCTAGAACTTTCTATACAGCCTAGGCAATCCTCCTTGCCTGAGTGCTGGGATCACAGGCATGTGCTATTGTAACCAGCCTCCTGGCAACAAATATAACAGTAAAAGTAAGAACTTTGGAGAGAATTTTCTAGTATACTAATTATAACAACAAGGCTGTAGGTATAGCTCAGTGGCAGACTTGTATAGCTTGTGCAAGGCCCTAGATTTAATCAGCGCATTTTAAAAAAATCACTAAAAAAATATGTCAAATGATTCCATTTACAGGAAGTTCTAGACTGAGTAAATGATTAAAATCTACAGTGAAAGAAAACACGTAGAGGAGGGAGCGTGGACTAGAAATCAACAGCCAAGGAAAACCTAGGTCATTAGTGTTCCATTCGTCGTCTAACTTAAAGCTTGTGCGGTTACTGTGTCTTTTACTCTAACATTATGACAAACAGCATGTCTACAGTGCAGGAAAAAGCAGCAGCAAAGGAACTATCACAGAAATGTCTTCAAGGCTCAGCATACGCTTCTCCTCACAAGCTCACTGACGTCAGCCCGGCAGCTATGCAAGCCCTCACCTCTGTACAGGGTTGAAACAGCATTCCCGCAGAACAGAAATGGGACAAACATGTTTTTTACCTCAACTCACAATGTCATATGGTCTGGTATCTGAGCGATCTGGAGGCGGCTGTTTCAGAATCATGCAAATCTTTTTGAGCAGTGACAAGCCCATATTAGGAAGCAACTTTCATGTGGAAAGTCACAGAATGTGACGGCAGAAGCTGGATGTACTGGCTTCAGCCACTCCTAGTTCTTGGGAGGCAGGGGCAGAAGGATCATGAGTTTGAGGCCATCCTGGGCTACATGGCAAGCTCCAGGTCAGCCTGAGCTATATGAAAGTCATGTTAGAAAACAAAAGTGAGGCCATGCCTCATAGTAATCAAAGTGTGCTGTGGGGAGACTTTTTGTAACAAGAAAAACTGATTCTTAGCTGTCCAAAAAAGGTATTTGATGGTATCTTTCCTACAAAGCATAGAATGTGTTTCAACTGGCACAACTACATTTATTTTTAGTGAATCTCTTCCAAGTTCAATTGTGAAATGTTGGTTTTCAGTGTCCCATAGTAATTCATTTTTCTACTTAAGTAGAACTTGGCTTAATTCTCTCAGGATCATGTCTACTTTAACCCTAACCTTGTAACCCTGATCCTTATGCTTTATCTTCTTTAAGGTGTGGAACTGGTTAAGAGTCATTCTCCACTCATGGAGACTATATCAAATGGTAGTTTACATTTTTCTGGCAAATGTGACAAAATGTAAATGTCTTTCAGATTGGGACATACACATGCTTATATCCTGCAGTTTTTTCTGTGTTTAAGGTAATGAGTCACTCTCAGAAATGAATAATGGGTAAGAACACTAGCTGTACAAACATGAGGACCCAAGTTCAAATACCCCAGGTTGGCTGACAGAGATAGAAGCCTCCTGGTCAGTTGGCTTAGCCAAAATAGTAAAAATAAAGTGAAAACTGATAAAGAAAAACAACTGATACCCTCTGCTAGTCACCACATGTGCATGCATACAAACATACACAAAACACGGGCATGTGCCACACACACCACAAGAAAAAAAGTAATTAGATTATTTTGTCCCCATAAGGCCCTATAAAGACAACTAGGAGCACATGGGTGAACTTCTATTTCAGAAGCTTCAACCACAGCTGCCTACGCATTTTGTAACAAGCTGGAAAGAAGACAGAGCAAGGGAAAGCTGCCTGCGTGGAGGAAAACCAGGACTGGCAGGGCAGCCAGGCCTTACTCATCCTTCATGATCTACAAGTCTCTTGTGTTGCCAAAGGGACCTGTGGAAACCAAGGAAAGACACAGATTTGGAGAAGACAGGAACAGAAGGGAAGGGCTAGGTATCAGGAAGCAAAGAACACGAGGTTGGGAATAAAGTTCACTATAAACAGAACAAAAGACTGCCGGACATTAGTTTAGACACAAATGACATCATCACAAATGTATAAACAGTGGGGTGTGATAAGGCTCTCGAAAGAACAGGTAAAAGAACATGGTGGACGTGAAACGATCTGCCTTCCTGCTCTAGCATCCAAGAACACAGCAAACCTGACAATTGTGATTGATACTATTTATCAAACGCTGTCCTTGGTCTTTAATAGAGTGCCTTCTTGGTGCTGGGAGCCAAACACAGAACTCAAATCTTTGCAACACTGAAGAAAGTAGAAACTATTCTAATTCTTATTTTCAAACCAAGATGCAGGTTAAGAGCTTTACTCTAGAACACACAGCTAAAGGTAGTCAGGATCTGAGGTCAGGCAGTCTGCCTATGGCACCTAACGTTTTAATCATCACCCTAACAAACAAAACCAAACCCCAGTAAACATTGCACAGGTCCCTGACCCTGGTACAGTTGCTCTTGGTTTGAACTGGGACTCTTAATATATACAGCCTGAGTAAACTGGCAGACTCAACAACCCTCGGACACAGCCCCAAGACAAGGTGGCTGGCTGGCACAGAACTCACTATGTAGACCAAAGAAATGTATCTGCCTTTGCCTCCCAGGTCCTGGGATTAAAGGCCTGGGCCACCATGCCCAGCTCAGACCCATAACATGTTTATTCCAATGTTGTAGAAAGTCTCTGGTAACATCAACTTATATCACATTCATAGTTAAGATACAAAGGATCTTTATATCTACCTTGGGTCATTTGTTCTCCAGACCTCCCTCTCAAGCTTCATACCTGAGACAACATGGCTTAACTACTCTGGCTCATAACCCAAGACCAATCTTGTCCTGCCATCAAATTTAAGTTTTTGATACTTGAAGCATCAAGTTCTAATTGGCTATGATTTTGCCCTTTTCTCTATTTTCTGCCTCATTGTCCTGAACATTTTGTGTTCCGTGATGGTAAGTGCACACACACAGTACGAGGCAAGCACCTTGTCACATATCTGAAACCCATTAAAATGTCCAGGCCATTTAATAGTGTCCAAATTAGAATATAACCCAGAAACTAAAAAGCTATTATTTTTCTCTCATAAAACGCAGTTTTTACTGGGCTTGGTGGTTCACGCCTTTAATCTCAGCACTTGGGAGGCAGAGGCAGGAGGCTCTGTGAATTCAAGACCAGCTTGGTCTCTAAAGACCCTGTCTCAGGAGGAAATAGGTAGTTTTCAAGTTGACCTCATTCACTCTTTTAGACAGCCATGATATATGCAGGCTGCCATGCTCTTTGAATGCTATGGCCTTACGTTAGCTTATTCACTTGGCTGAGGCCCCTTTCCCTGTAACTTGGACAGTAAAATCTTAGTCACCCACACCCCAAAGAGCAGTCTTCCTGGGGAAAGTATTTTATTCCAATTTTTCTATTCCCAAATCTGCCAGAAAACAATAAGATGTTATGATGGTCTTTTAAATGTTACTATTATATATATTTTAATCAACTGTTCACACTATGGAGACTGTAGCACATACAACTGGAAGAGTATCTCAGTTAATTTTGATTTTCATCATTAGAACTTAAATCATATTTTAAAATCCATTATTCATATTTACTATAA